ACAGAGTCTCTCTGTAGCCCCAGCTGGCCTGGAACTCACTATGTAGTCCATGCTGGCCTTGAACTCACAGAGATCTACCTGCCTCTGCCACCTGAGTGCTGGGACTAAAGGCATGTGCCATCATACCCAGCTATTATTATTTTTTTAAGATAGGGTCTACTATCTCATCCCGGCTGGGCTAGAACTTGCTATTGTAGACCAGGCTGGCCTGAAACTCAAAAGAGCTTTGCCTGCCTTTGCCTTCCTAAGTGTTGAGCCACAGTGCCTGGCTCTAGTTCTGTTATAGCTGAGGAAATGACTGAAGTTTATAATTAATACCATACCTTTAGGAACCAAAGTGAAGTTTCAGTTGTTTACCTAGGAATCCATTATTATTATTTTAAATATTTTATTTTGTTATTATTTTTATGTGTATGCATGTATTGCCTACATGTAGGTAAGTGCACCCGTGTCGTGCAGTGCCCGTGGAAAACTGAAGAAGGTGTTGGATCCCCTGGAACTGGAGTTACGGACAGTTGTTAGCTGCCATGTGGGTGCTGGGATTCGAACCCGGGTCTTCTACAAGAACAACCAGTGTTCTTAACCGCTGAGCCGTCTCTCCAGCCCCGAGTTCATTATTTTTTGATTGAAAGAATAACCAGAAGCAGAAGACCCAGGTTCGAAACCCAGCACCCACATGGCAGCTAACAACTGTCCATAACTCCAGTTCCAGGGGATCCAACAACCTCTTCTGACCCCTGCGGGCATTGCACAACATGGGTGCACTTACCTACATGCAGGTAATACATGCATACACATAAAATAAAAACAAATAAAATTAAAAAAAAAAGAATAACCAGATATCAAAATTGAATTATGGGTTGAGGGTGTAGCTCAGTAGTAGAGCCCGTGTTTAGTGTGTGAGACCCTGGGTTTGACCCCTAGCACCACAAATTCCTGTTTGTTTTTATTTTCTTGAGACATGATCTCATGTAGCCCAAGCTAGCCTTCAACTCTTGGTCTTCTATCTGTTGAGATTATAGGAGTCCAGCTGAATTTTTAAAAAAATTTAACCACTGAAGATGCCTGTTTTATATCTTTGTTTGGTATTTCTTTTTGGTCATGTTTATGTACCATAGACTGCCCTCAAACTCCGTGATCCAGTATCAGTCTTCAAGTGTTGAGATTATGGGTGTGTTATCACTATCTTTGTTCCCCTTGTAAACATTCTTTTCATATATACTTTTTAGTTTATTTTATGTGTATGAGTGTTTTGCCTGCATATAAGTGCAACATGTGCATGCATTGCCCTCAGAGTCCAGAAGAGGGTGTCAGATCCCTGGAACTGGAGTTATGAACTGTTGTTAGCTGCCATGTGGGTGTTGGGAACCAAATCCAGGTCCTCTGCAAGAGCAGCCAGTGCTCTCAACCCCTGAACCATCTCTCCAGCTCCTATAAGTATTCTTGATGTGAAGGTAATGTCTGGAATTGTGTTTGTTCCTTGGTTAAGCTCATGTTTATTGGGAGTAGTTTTGACAGGCATAGACTAGCAAATAATTGCCTGTATGGGAAAACTATGTAGTAAAAAAGTAACTTGCCATGTGGATAGACATCAGGAAAAAAGTGTACTGGTAAGCTCAGAAAAATGACAGGGACCCTCTCCTTCCCCGCCAGTTAATGGAGGTAATACCACTGGTTAGCTCTGCTTAAGTGAGCCTATGACAAGTGAAGCTCAAGTGAAGCTTTTGGAAGCTCTTGACTGGTGGATTATTACCTCTTGTGTCTGGCGGCCTGCTGACTATGTGGCCGTTTTACCTTAAGAAAGTTCTCTTATGAGCAGAGAAGGATGTGCCTGATGAAGGACCCTAGGATTCATGCCTCAGTTTCCCCATGAACTCTGCCTGTGGGAGGAACCTCTTTTCCCCAGTCTATTATTTTACCCTCTCTGCTTTTAGACAACAGTGTCTGTACAGACAGGGTCAAAACTGGTAACTGGTCAGGTGACTGGAGGATATTTCCATGGCTGAGAGAAATTATAGAAACCCAGACATTTTCCTAGTTGGCCCTCACTAATCTGTCTTCTTTGAGTCATGCATTTTAGACTTAGCCTTCTCATGCCTGGGTTTTGGAATGTTTGTTGTGTTAGGTTCATTTGTTTTAAACACCTTTCTTGAGATAAAACTCATGTCACCTACTGAGAGTTGAGTGCTTTTTAGTATAATCAGAATTGAATCACCACAATCTTTTTAGAATGTTGAGAGGAGCCACCGAAAAAGAAACTCTGTAGTCGTGAGCTTTCACTCTCCGTTGTCCTCACTCCCTCTAGCACCTCACACCTCCCACTTCTCCCCTGAACCGTCTCAGCCACATTGATCTCTACAGCATGGCCTGTTCTGAACGTTTCATCTGAATGGAGCCAAATACTGTGGCCTTTGTGGCATTTTCACTTGTATAAAGCTTTCAAGGTTCATCTGTGTCATATTAATACTTGGGTTCATTTTTTTGAAAAATTGTTTGTGTGTATGCATGTATACATGCTTATGTGTGCATGTGTGCCATGGCACATGTGAGCCAGAAGACAACTTTCAGGAGTCAGTTCCTTTCTTCCACTGTGGGTTCTTGGGATCTGACTCAGGTTGCTCGGCTTGCATAGCAAGCACTTTTACCGGCTGAACCATCTCTCAGGCCCTCCTTTTTTATTTATACTTAATTTTTTTTTTTTTTCCAGGATGGGCATGGTGGTGTATGCCTTTAGTCCCTATGTAGCCCAGGCTAGCCTGGAACTTGCCCTGTAGACCAAGCTGACCTGGAATGCACAGAGATCCACCTGCCTCTTGCTGAGCTCAGAGGTGTGTGTCACCACATCAGGCCCTGTGTAAGTTCTTATATGTTTTTATTTATCTGGAGTGTATACTTGGTCACATTGTAAACTTGGCAGTAGTGGCTTATATAGATTGGGCCAGAGTTTCTGTGTAAAGAATTCTTAAGTTCTATGAAGAAAATGCCTTTATGAGAGCATTATTTTTTAAAAGATTTTTATTTTTAATCATATGTGTATCTATGTGGGTATGTGCACATGAGTGCACGTGCCAGAAGAGGGTGTTGAATCCCCTGGAGCTGGAGTTACAGGCTGTTTTGAGCTCCCCAGTGTGGGTACTGGGATCTGAACTCCAGTTTTCTGCAAGAAGAGCAAACTCTTAACCAGTGAGCCAGCACTCCAGCCCTGAGAGCATTGTTTGCTACTGTCTTAAGTGGTTGTCAGCTGGGATAATTTTGACATCACTCATACTTCTCACTCCCAGCTCTTGGAACCACCTGGAGACATTTTGGATGGTCTTAGTGGGGCATGGTACTAGCTTCTAGAGGGTAGAAGCCAGGGTGCTGTTAATCTAGCCACAGTGGCCAGATTAAGTAGCCCTAAATGGCAGAAGTGCTGAAATCGATGAGAAACTATGGCCTTAACTGGAAGATCCCAAATTCCAGTATTAAAGGATTTTCTTCTGCTTATATCCTAATAGTCAAAAGCTGCTAATCGAATCAAAGAAGAAACTATGCAGATGGAATTCCTGCACAGAACTGAACTGTAACAGGGCTTGTAAATTAAATCAGGGAACATTTTGTTGCATTCTCAGTACTGGCAAATTGTATGTAAACTACACTTATGATAATGGTTACTATTTGGAGGAGAAACACCAGTTGGAACAAGAACAGACTGTTGTTCTACCTCAGCCTAGCTACCGTGAGACACACACCTTGGCAAGTAAACAACTGAACTCATTTAGATAGACATTCACATGGTCAGCTTCTGAGAGAATGTGACAGTAGGATTAAGGTAAACTTTAATAACCAATTCTCTGTTGATTAGCAGTTGTTATTCTGCTCTTGTAACTAACTTACCTTCCTTGAAAGCTGCTTGTTGCTTAAGGTGACTTCTTTCCTGTGATGCTGGAGATGAAACCCACTGCCTCATGTAGCACCAAGCTGCACCCAGCCATGCTTAAGACCAGAGCTAGAGAGATGACACAGTGGATAAGTGCTCCTGCAGAGGACCTGAGTTTTTCTCAGCACTCATGTTGAGTAGTTCGTAATCACCTGTAACTCCAGTTCTATGGGACCCTTTCTGGCCTCTGTGGGCACTATATACACACCACACACACACACACACACACACACACACACACACACACACACACACACAAACACACACACACACAATTAAAAATAAAAATAAACTGGGTGTGGTGATGTACATCTTTAGTGCCAACACTTAGGAGATGGAGGGAGGAGGATCTCTGTGAATTCAAGGCTAACTTGGTCTACATAGTGATTTCCAGGCCAGGGATACTAGTGAGACCCTATCTCAAAAAACCGAAACATACACCCCACAAAACAAAACCACACAAAAAAATTAAAAATAAAATCTTAAAAAAAAAAAAAGACTTATTTGCCTATAGTGATGCACACCTATAATCCCAGCACTTGGGTAGCTCACTTGGGAGGACTGAGTTCAAGGCCAGTCTGGACTCCATAGGGAGAGACCCTATCTCAAAACAAGTAAAAAAACCCCAAACCTAAGTGGCATGGTCTATGTAAGAATTTAGACTCTGGATCCAGATGGCTTAAGCTTAAGTCTTACCTTCAGCATTTACTCTGTGACCTTGGACAGATTATTTAGCCCTTTCATCAATTATTTCTCGTATGTAAAATGATGATGTAGTATCTGTTTTATAGGAGTGTTGTGCATATGAAATGAATTGATGCACTGAGGACAGCATCAAATGAATGTTCTCACATATCCTTTCAGCCTATTGCTATGGACAGTGCCATCACTCTGTGGCAGTTCCTCCTTCAGCTCCTGCAGGAGCCTCAGAATGAGCATGTGATCTGCTGGACCTCTAACAATGGGGAGTTCAAGCTTCTGCAGGCAGAGGAGGTGGCTCGTCTCTGGGGGATTCGCAAGAACAAGCCTAACATGAATTATGATAAGCTCAGCAGAGCCCTGAGATACTACTATGTAAAGGTAATGGATACCCTGACTTTGACCCTTCCAGAGAACCTCAAGACAAGAATTGTTCCTTTGTTTCTATTGAGGGTTTGAGTACTGATGTGGCTTATTTAGTCCAATTGATTAGCTATAGAACTATTGAAATAGTTCTAGTTGTATTTCTCTGCAAACTCTTAAAAAATGTTTTTATATATTATTTTTATTTGTGTTTGTGCATGAGTGTGTTTGGAGGTCAGATGACACCTTGGGAGAATTGGATCTTTCCTTCTACCATGTGGATTCCAGGTATTGAACTCCCATCCTCCGGATTGTCAATAAGCACTTGCCTGTTGAGTCATCTTGCTGGCCCCAAAGTGATCTTTAAAGGAAAAAGTATTGGATTGGAATACAAAAAAGGAAGTTTGAGATACTTGAGGACAAATATTCATATGTGTCATATTTACTTTAAAAATTATCACATAGGACTGGCCATGGTGGTACATGCCTTTAATCCCATCTCTGTGGGGGATTCACAGTGAATCAAGGCCACCCTGGTCTACATAGCAAGTTCTAGGCGAGCCAGAGCAACATAATGAGACCCTGTCTTTAAAAAAAAAATTATTATACAGGGCTAGGGATGTAGCTCAGTTGATGGTGTGTTTGCCTGGTATGCATGAAACCTTGGGTTCCATCCCCAGCACCGCATACACTGGACTCTGTGGACAAGCCTATAATCTCAACATTCAGGAGGTACAGGCAAGAGGATCTGAAGTTCAGGGTCATCCTTGGCTACTTAATAAGTTTGAAGCAACCCTGAGATCCATGAGATCCTGTCTCCATTAAAAAAAAAAAATGGGGCAGTGGGCTGGGGAGATGGTTTACTTGGTAAAATACTTGTAGTGTACCCGTGAAGACCTGAGTTTGATCCCCAACCAGGTATGGTAGTATGTGCCTATGATCTCAGTGCTGGGCAGGCAGAGACAGAAGGATTTCTGGGGCTTGCCTAGCTAGCTAGTCTAGTCAAACTAGTAAGTTCCAGGTTCAGTGAGAAACCTTGTCTCAAAAAAAAGGTACAATGGAGAGAACTGAGTTGAGGAAGATGCCCATTATTGACACCTGGACTCCATAAGCATGTGTATATACATGCACACACAGACATGAACATACAAAAATTTGTCATATATACTTGTTTATGTAACTTTACTTTTTTTTTTTTTTTTTTTTTTTTTTTTTTTTTTGGTCTTTTTGAGACAGGGTCTCCCTGTAGCCCTAGCTGTCCTGGAACTCACTATGTAGACCAGGCTGGCCTTGAACTCACAGAGATCCTCCTGCCTCTGCCTCCTGAGTGCTGGGATTAAAGGCACGTGCCACCACGCCCAGCCTTCTAGCTTTAATTTTAATTTAATTAATTAATTTATTTAAATTTGGTCTTTTTGAGACCAGGTCTCCCTGAAGCCCCAACTGGCCTGGAACTCACTATGTAGACCAGGCTGGCCTTGAACTCACAGAGATCCTCCTGCCTCTGCCTCCTGAATGCTGGGACTAAAGGTGTGTGCCACCACACCTGGCCTAATTTTTATAGCCTAGGGAACATAAGTAAGTAGTTTATTTTTATTTATTTTTAATATTATTTTATTTTATTATTTTATGTGTACAAGTGTGTTGCCTGCATGTATGTGAGTGTACCCGCGTCGTGCAGTGCCTCGGAGGTCAGAAGAGGGCTTCAGATTCCCCTGGAACTGGAGTTAAGGATGGTTCGTAGCCGCCATGTGGGTGCTGGGAATTGAACCCTGGTCCTCTGCAAGAGCAGTCAGTGCTCTTAACTGCTGATCCATCTCTAGCCCCATAAGTAAATACTTTAAAGAATAACTATTGCACCAGGTGTGGTGACTCACACCTGTAATTGTAGCCTAACTCAGAAGGTTGAGGCAAGCAGATTGCCATGGATTCTAGGCCATCAAGGCATAGCTATTTATGGCAGATAGAGTTGATTTCTTAGTTTAAGTTATACTTTAAAAAAATTGTTTTAAGGGGCTGGAGAGATGGCTCAGAAGTTAAGAGCACTGGCTGTTCCGGACTTGGGTTTGGTTCCCAGGACCCAGGTGACTCAGAACCACTTGTAACTTCAGTTCCGGGGGATCCAGTGACCTCTTCTGGCCTCTCGGCACTACATGCATATGTTGCACATACATACATTCAGGCAAAACAGTCATACACATAAAATAAAAGTAAATCTTAAAGTTATTGGGAATGCAAAAGAGAGCAGGCACACTCATGCATGTATGTGAGGGTTATAGGACAACTTTCCAGAGCCCCTACTCACCTTCTACCTTGTTTGTTAATGCAGGGTCTTTCTTATTTCTGCTACTGAGCTGTATGTTCCAGCTAGCTGGCCTATGAGCTTCTGGGTGATTCACTATGTAGACCAGGCTGGCCTTGAACTCAGAGATCTGCCTGCCTCTGCCTCCTGAGTGCTTGGATTAAAGGCATGCGCCACCATGCCTGGCGTTTCTACTTTTTAAAAAATATTTATTATTTTTATTTTGTGCATATGAGTGTATTGCCTGCATGTAGGTAGGTGCACCTATGTGGTGCAGTGCCCACGGAGGTCAGAAAAGGGCATCAGATCCCCTGGAACTGGAATTAGGGATGGTTGTTAGCCACCATGTAGGTATTGGGAATCGAACCTGGGTCCTCTGCAAGAGTAGCCAGTGCTCTTAACTGCTGAGCCATCTCTCTAGTCTTCATGTTTATACTTTTTGTCTCTTTGTAGGAGTGCTGGGATCACATATAACACTACCACATTTGGATTTTTAATGTTCTGGAGATTGAACTTGGGTCATCAGGTTTATGTGGTTAGCACCTTTACCTGCTAAGCCATCTTATCAACTCATATTATTATATTTTTTTGTTTAATATCTTGTTATTTTGAATGCATTTTTAGGCACTGGAGAAAAATAATTATCTCCAGAAGAATAGATTTAGAATAATCAGAGCTGTTGCTTTTGTTCACCTTTAAGTAGTCAATTGTCTGAGCTTTCCTGTGGAAAAGAGAAGAGGTAAGAATCAACTTGAAGGAAGTAGGAACCTTACTGATGTAAATTAGCTTTAAAGACCCTTTTGCTTCCTCAGAAAGCTTATGACTTACTGCATTGGGATTATTTGAGATTGCAGTTCCATGAGCTCTGATTTACTACACATACGTAGTTCAAAGCGTCAAACATCAATCAGCTTTTGTGTGATATTGTAGTTCAGTTACTAATGAGGCACTGGATCTTTGCTTTAACTTCTCTGGGATAGCATTTGTTATGGTTAGGGGAATGTAGGTGATTTTGAAGTGAGCTATGTGTACTTCTCAGATAGCTTCACTAGGTCAGCTTTTTCATGAGCTATATGATATAAATTTATAAGAAAGCATAATGCGTATTCTTTCTACCTACAGAACATCATTAAGAAAGTAAATGGTCAGAAGTTTGTGTACAAGTTTGTCTCTTATCCAGAGATTTTGAAAATGGATCCAGTGACAGTGGGCAGGATTGAGGGAGACTATGAAACTTTAAATTCCAGCGAAGCCAGCAGTTCCAGAGATACAGAGAATGGAGGGAAAGAGAAGCCACCTCAGCCTGGTGCCAAGACATCGAGTCGCAATGACTACATTCACTCTGGTTTGTACTCCTCATTTACTCTCAACTCTCTGAACACCTCCAATAAGAAGCTTTTCAAGTCAATAAAGATAGAGAATCCAGCTGAAAAACTGGCAGAGAAAAAATCTAAGGAGCCCACACCATCTGTCATCAAATTTGTAACAACACCGGCCAAAAAGCCCCCCATCGAATCTGTTGCTGTTGCCTTTTCAACCAGCCCAAGTATTTCTCCATCCTCTGAAGAAACTATCGAAGTGTTAGAGACATTGGTTTCTCCCAAACTGCCTTCTCTGGAAGCTCCAACCTCCACATCTACTCTGACTACCATCTTTAGCCCCACACCTCCAGTTCTGTCCATGCCCCTTCCTGTGAAGGAGCCTCCCAGGACACCCTCTCCACCTGCACCACTGAGCTGTAACCCAGACATTGACACAGACATTGAATCAGTGGCTTCTCAGCCAATGGAACTTCCAGAGAACCTGCCACTGGAGCCTAAAAATGAGGATTCAGCTTTGCCAGAAAAGGACAAAACAAATACTTCCTCAAGATCCAAGAAGCCCAAAGGATTGGAACTGGCACCAACTCTTGTGATCACAGGCAGTGACCCCAGCCCCCTGGGAATCTTAAGCCCATCTCTCCCAACAGCTTCTCTTACACCAGCACTCTTTTCCCAGGTAGCTTGCCCTTCCTTTAAGAGATTGCATTTATTTACATTTTAAACCCTATCTAGAATTTATATCTGCAAGTTAATTTTCTGTTACTTAGGTTGTCTTTGAAAGGTTATATATAACTTTGTGAAACCTTCACCTTAATTAGAATCTCCAATATGTAAGATTTGGAGTTTTGTCTTTAAAAATTTATTGTTTTTGGGCTGTGAATGTAGCTCAGATGGTAGAGTGTTTGCCTAGCATGCACAGACCCCTGGGTTCCATTACTGGTTTCCATTCCTGGTGGCACACACCTGGAATCATAGCTCCTAGGAGGTAGAGGCAAGAGAATCAGAAGTTCAAAGTCGTCCTTGGCTTTGTAGCCTGTTTGAGGCCAATCTGGGCTGCATAAGACCTGTTCTCAAAATACCAAATGTCATTATCTATGGGTTTTTCCTGTTATTTCCTAAAGAAAATTCATTCTCCCTTTTACTCCTGTAGAATGTTGGCATCTTATGAGAAACAGTAGGTTCTGAGAATCTTAGGAGAAAGGACTGGGGGTGTGATCTTGAGTAGTGAGTTTACTTAATAATATTGGGTATTAAATGGCTCATCTTGTAGAACATTTTAATAAGATTACTCTCAGATCATCTGATTGTTAATGAGTATATTGGTGAGTCTGTTAACCATTATTCTTTCATATTTGAACTCAGGCAGATTTTTCTATTTTCAAAAGACCCTATAAAGGTTTGATTAAAAAATTATGATTTTGCCAAGTATGGTGGCACATACCTTTAATCCCAATGCTTGGGAGGCAGAGCCAGGCAGATATCTGTGAGTTTGAGGCCAGCCTGGACTACATGGTGAACCCCCGTCTTAAAGACAAAAAAAAAAATCTATTCTGACCTTTATCTTTCTTAGGTTATAAAAATGACTAAATTTCAGGCTTAGAGGTGTTTGGGAGTAGAGGATAACACAATTTTGGGTTCTGTTTGTATCTTTAGAAGGATAAAGTACAATCCTGGCAAGTCCTTGAATGGGTCTTCTTGTATATTGCAGACACCCATCTTGCTGACTCCAAGCCCCCTGCTCTCCAGTATCCACTTTTGGAGCACTCTCAGCCCGTTTGCTCCCCTGAGCCCGGCCAGACTGCAAGGTGCTAATACGCTTTTCCAGGTAAATTCACAAAGTGTGCCTCCTGTAATTGGGGAATGATGAGTGAAGAAACAGGCAAAGGCACTGTCCCACTGCTCAGTGTCATTGTTAATACCTCCTATGTGACAAATATGTAGGTACTTTATTTGAATTTCCAAATGTTAATTTTTTTTTTTCCATGTAGGAAACAACTTGGAGAAATACCTTGGGTAAATTATTGTAGCAAAGCTTTCATCATTTACCACTACATGTATTTAATTTAGACCAAAAATTGTTCTATAGTGAATTCAATTTTGTGTTTACTCAATATTTTTGTCATCTTAAATTCTAGAAATTCTTTTTATTTACTTATATTTTATTTTTGAGACCAGATCTCACTGTAGCCCTGACTGGCCTGGAACTCACTATGTAGAGCAGGCTGGCCTCAAACTTCAGAGATCCTCTTGTCTCTGCCTCCTGAGTACTGGAATTAAAGGTGTACACCACACCTGGCTATTTTTTTTTTATTTATTTTTTTTTAACATTTACTTATTTTATTTGTGTGTGTGCATGCACATGTGCCACGGTGTGCATGTGGAGGTCAGAGGACAAATGCAGGACTTGGTTTTCTCTTTTCACCATGGGGGTCTGGTGCATTGAATTCAGGTTGTCAGGCATGGAGGCAAAGTGCTTTTACTGCTGAGCCAGCTCAGCAGCCCTAGAAATCCCCTTAATCACATATTCAGACACACGCATGCACATGCACACAAACACACACACACACACACACACACACACACACACACGGGTCTGGTGCATTGAATTCAGGTTGTCAGGCATGGAGGCAAAGTGCTTTTACTGCTGAGCCAGCTCAGCAGCCCTAGAAATCCCCTTAATCACATATTCAGACACATGCATGCACATGCACACAAACACACACACACACACACACACACACACACAAATGTACATGTACCAGTGGTCCCAGGTATTTTGCAGGCTGAGGCCAAAGGATAGATTAAATCACCTAGGAGTTTGGGGCTACCCTCAACCCCATCTCAAGCAAAACAAATAGATGTAATATACCTTAACTTTGCATAATGTTGTACACTGGAAAGAAGTTGGTTACTCCAAAAATAGTCATCCCACTTACACTGGTGGGCCAGTTGTCGCCCATAGGATTCAAAACTGAGCAAGGTTCATGCTAAATTTTCTCTTAGGTAGCTTGCATATTAACTTCCAGCACTGTGAAAGCTAGACAGTAGTGATGATGTTTTGAGTTCTTGAGTGCAATGCCATGTCATGCTCAGAGTACAGCATTTCACAACATTTGTGTCCATCTTGACTCTTAAATTCTTTCTATCCCCTCTTCCACAGTGTTTCCCAAGTTTTGGGCAGGTGTTGCTATTGATATCCCAATTATCCTGAGCATTTCATAGACTCTTGTTCTCTATGCTTTGATTATTTGTGAGTCTCTGTATTAACCACATCTGCTGAAAAAAAGAAGCTTCTCTGACGAGGGTGGAGAGCTGCACTCATCTATTGGTATAAAGATTAAGTAGTTAGAAGGTAGTTTGACAGCATGTCTGTTTAGCAAAACAATGGTAGTAGGTTCTACCCTAGGGCCTATGTCCTCCCCAGCCATGGGCTTTTGACCAGGCTTATAGTACCAGGCCTGAATGTCCTCCTGTGAAATGAGCCTCAAATCTTATAAGAAACTGGATGGTTACCCCCATAGCACTTATGCCATTATAGCATCAGTGGGTACATGTTTCCTGGCAGGCCAGTATTATACCTTGCAGGGTCCACTGCTTGGTAAGGCCATTAATGACTTCTTGGTTTAGCTTTGGCGGGTCCCATGATTTTAGATATCCATTTCTTTTAGGTTTCCAAATTTAATAGAGTGTAGGTTTTTAAAGTATTCTCTTATAATATCTGGATCTTTTTGGTGTCTGCTATGATGTTTCCCCTTTCATCTCTGATTTTGTTGATTTGGATTTGCTCTTTTCTTTTGGTTAACTGGGTTAAGGGTCTGTCTTGTTTAACTTTTCAAAGAATCAGCTCTTGGATTCATTGATTCTTTGTATTGTTTTGTTTCAGTTTCATTAATTTCGGCTCTGGGTTTTGTTATTTCTTCTCATCTGCTGGGTTTGGGTTTCATTTGTTCTTGCCTTTCCAGAGACTTGAGTTGCGATGTTAAGTCATTTATTTGTCCTTTTTCTGATTTTCTTTTCTTTTTTTTTTTTTGGTCTTTTTGAAACAGGGTCTCCCTATAGCCCCAGCTGGCCTGGAATTCACTATGTAGACCAGGCTGGTCTTGAACTGACAGAGATCCACCTGCCTTTGCCTCCCAAGTGCTGGGACTATAGGCGTGCGCCACCATGCCTGGCTTCTGATTTTTTAATGTAGGCACTTAGCGCTGTAAACTTCCCCTTAGGATTCTTTTAAAGTGTCCCAGAAGTTTTGTTGTGTTGTATTGTCCTTTTCCTTTAATTCCAGGAACACTTTTATTTCTTTCTTAATTTCTTCTTTGACCCATTCATTCATGAGTGTGTGGTTTAATCTCCATGAGTTTTTGTAGTATTAGGACTTCTTTTGCTGTTGATTTTAAGCTTTATTGCATTGTGCTCTGACAGAATGCATGGAATTATTTCAGGGGTTTTTTTTTTTTTTGTATTTCTTGAGGTTTGTTTTGTGCACCAGTATGTGGACAGTTTTTGAGAAATTTCCATGAGGTACTGACTAGAAAGCATATGCTGGGACTGGAGAGATGGCTCAGTGGTTAAGAGCACTGGCTGCTCTTGCAGAGGACCTGGGTTCAGTTCCCAACACCAACATGATGGCTAACAACCATCTGTAACTCCTCTTCCAGGAATCTCAGACCTTCTTCTGACCTCCGAAGGCATTGAACAACATAGCTGTACTTACTTACATGGAGGCAATACACTCAACACACATAAAATAAAAATAATAAAATTTTTATTTATTTTTTTTATTTTTTAGAAGAAGGATTTCATTACAGCTTTAACGTATTGATTAACAGTTTCCAGAGCAAAGATACATCTCTTTCAAAAGTGGATATAAAATTTTTAGGTTTGCTGTTCAATGAATACAGTTACACAATATTGAACTCAGTATAAGCTCTGCCTCTTACAATCTTTCTGCCCCTTCT